AGTAGTAGTAGTAGTAGTGGCAGCATCAATATCATGGCTTTAATGCACCGTGAACCGTTGATATCTTTTGCCCGCTTCAGCTTCAACCCGCAACCTGCAGGTGGTTGTGTAGGGCAGTTCCACCGTTGGTCCGCTGGTAACTTTCCAGAGCTGTCGAGTCCATGGGGACATGTTGATGCAACAGGGATACCCGTGGATTGAAGGCTGCGCCGCAGCTGATGGAGGGCCCAGAAACTTCACCGGCAAGGTCTTCGTCGCACCCACATGCCACCCGATGGAAAGCTAGGGTTGCTTCGGCGGTTCCAAGTTTAGGGCAGAGGTGTTTTTCAGGTCGTGGTCAGAGATCTGCAGTAAGAAGTGCCTGTATGCTAAATCTAGCTGTACATGATGTTGACGACACGAGTCATGGTGTATCTGTACTTGGGAAGTTGTGTTTGCTTGCGTACATGGTTTGTAGTTGTAGTCGTCGTCATCATCGTCGTCATCGCAGAAGCAGCAGTTTGCTACAGCAAGTGTAGTCATACGTGCAAGTGGCAGCAACGAGGAGGAGGAGTGAGTCGTTGGACTACGTTGGGGTGACTCAGGTCAGTGAGAATAAAAACCCTTTCTAGTAGTAGTTTTGGCATTCCTAACTCCCAGTCCTTGTCACCAACACCGCAGAGAAAGCCCCCGCATGACCGTTCCCTTCGGCACGGTCTCCGGGATTACGGTTGGAACTTTGGGAGTTCAGAGGTCGAGTAGCTTCGTGCTCTAAACAAGCATGTTTCAGGTTGGGTTATGCGGATTTGTGGACAAAACCGACGCCCCTGTACAAGAGTCCGGTTGTCTGCAACGAAAGCCCAGTCCCAGGCTATTGTCCTTCTTGCCCGCTTCTCCTTCAGCTCACGCAGCAACTGCAGTGTCGAGTTCCACTTGGCTGGAAAGGATCCGAAGACGCTGGAGATCTTGCATCTGAGAAGACATCAGGAGGTGTTATTTGGAAAAAAAGTCACTTTGGTATACTTTGGTCGTCGTCCCTATACTCTTGACGAAGATCCTTTCAGGAGCGGTAACGTTGGAATGATTGAAGACACTGTGTCATCTATCATGCAGTGACAGGAGCCTGCTAGTAGGATCGTGTCTCCAACCCGTGACGTAGCACAGATCACAGCAGACGAGGCAAGAGGTGACCCAGAAGCAGCAGTTCAGCCGCGAGGCCTTGTCCTTGCCATCCAGCTGCTCCTCCGAGGAAGCTGTTGCCATTGAGCTGTCTAGCGGCGAGGTGCCGCGGGAGCGAGATACGGAGTGCCCGCCTATCTCTCTGAGCCATCGGGAGATTCTTTATTTGGGTGAAGCCGCCAAGATGACTCAAAGCAGACTCCAAACTCCTCGAGCACCGCCTCGCATGCAGCAGGACTTCCTGTCTCCCGTGGCCAGTCCGCCACCGGCTTTCGGCATGGAGCTGTCGAGGGACGTGCTGTCAGTACTTACCACGGAGGTGAATGTGCCCATACCACTATCCCTGGAACACGCATGGCTGCACTTACCGCCGAGCTGCCCGCGATTCCATCGCTGCACAGTATCTGTGGACAAGCTAGGTCTGGTAGTGCAGCCTTTGTCCAAGAGCTGCAAGCGCTTCCGTGCAGCCCAACGCCATGTGACCGGCCTCTACGTGCTGCCTACGGAGTCTCTTGGCTTTCCGCTGTCTGCCATCCTCGACATCGACCAGGCCGACTCCTCAGACAAATCTGAATCCGATTACAAGACACAACCACGAAAACCTAAACAAACACACCACACCGAGAAACTTCTAAGGTTCTAGCATATGAAGTACGTGAGCAGCATCAAAGGCAAACAAGGCTACCGTAGCACTTCTTGCTGCTTCAACAGAATGCAAATGACTGCGTGCGCAGCAGCGAAACCAAAACGGACACTGCCGCCACCACCACCACCGCCACCAGCAGCAGCAACGACAGCGACAGCGACGGCACCACCACCGCTACCACCGCCACCAAAAGCACCGGCACCAGCTCCGCCAGCAGCAGCAGCAGCAGCAGCACCAGCACCAACAGCAACAGCCACAGCAACAGCGAGACTAACACTGAGACTGTTGATAGCGGCTGAATCCAACCCGAAATTGCTACTAGTATCATTGTAGCTATGGGCAGCATTGGTTTTTGCTGATGGCGCTTGCACTGTGTTGTGCGCACGATTAAACTTCATGCAAACATATTGCTAGTGTATACCACAGCCACTGCCTTCTAAACCTCCAAATCCGAGATAGTTGTGCGCCCCAGGACATGTGGTCTGATGGTGCTACTACGACAATGTGATTACTATTAGTATTAGTATTATTATCCTGCTCCAGACATGCACGCCAGCATTCCACTATCAACCATGGTGTTTACTACTTAGGCTGTTGATCGGACCCGCCATGTGAGCAGGGCGATGTTTCTGTAGAATTTCGTTCGGGGGCCATTGGCCCAAAATCGTCTCGCGTCAAGCCCCAAATGCCTCGAGCCCTGAACCCTAAGCCCTAAACCCTACAAACCCTAAACCCTAAACCCAAAGCCTCGTGCAACACGGAGAGCAACCTTGAATCCCTAAGCAAAGACAAGTCCCAGAACCCAGCTTTGCAAATCCTTAAACCCTAAGCCCCTTATGGAAGCCCTTACAAGACCCTAGATCCTTTGTACCAGCCCTTGCAAGAACCTCTCAGCCCCAAACCCTAAACCCTAAACCCCTAAGCCCTAAACCCTAAGCCCTCAAAGGAAGCCTCAAGGCCAGTCACAAGACTGCAGGCCCCTGACTTCGCAGATTCGCTGCTCTCCATGGCTGCCCGCGCTTCGGAAGCTCCGGGTCGACCTGCCGACCCCGTTGGGGCCTGCAGCCTCAGAGGGTTTAGCGGTTAGGGTTTCGGGTTCAGAGGTTAGGGTTTAGGGTTCTGTGGTTAGGGTTCAGGGTTCAGGGGTTTGGGTTTCGGGTTGAGGGGTTTGGGTTTCGGGTTCTGGGTTTAGGGTTTAGGGTTCAGGGTTCAGGGGTTAGGGTTTAGGGTTCAGTGGTTTCCAGTTCAGGGTTTAGGGTTTATAAGCTTCGGCAGCCTCAGGGGGGTTTACCTAGAGTAGCGATGTAGTTTTCATTCCTGAGGGCTGTTTTAAGCCTCAGGGGCTTGTTAGGGGTTAGGGCTCAACTAGGGTCAGAGGGTTCGGGGGCTGGGGTTTTATGATGGGTTAGGGATGTGGGTTTAGTCTCTTTTTCAAGGGCTCTTTGACAGAGATATCAAGGGAAGCCAGCCATGCATGATTGTTTGGGCTCTTTTTGGCAGTTCGGTCCAGGCTTGTTGTTCCGGATTCCCTGTATATAGCATTAATAAAGAGGAAGATCTAGGGAACGGATGGAGTCGGATTAAGCTGATACAGAAAAAGCACCAAATGTCTTATTAAGGCTTTGGTTTGGGGGTGAGGCTTTCGGGTTGAAGTTAAAGGTCCTAGCACGGTTTAGGGTTTAGGGCTGTAGTGGGTTTGGGGGTTTAGGGTTGAGCGTTTAGGGTTGCCTAGTCCGAAACCCCAAGCACCTCAGGGACTGGGATTTCGGCCAACGGAGACGACCCTGCTTTTCGGGCTTTTCTCGGGGAGATTGTCCTGTGCATATGTGGATTCTGGGTTGTTTGAAAACTCCCCGATGTTGACGAGGCTCTCTGGTTAGGGTTTCATCATGTCAGGAAGGGTCTGAGGCCCACGATGAGCCCAGCACGCTTCGTGGTCAGGTGAAACCCTACATCCCTCAGGCTCGAAGCCTTAGTACCCGAGGCCCGAAGCCCTAAACCCTAATACCCTAAGCCCTATAGCCTAGTACCCCAAGCCCTAGATCCCAAGCCGTCTGTCCCGGTCGAAAGGATCGTTGCTTCCGATCCCTGGAAGCCTAATGTAGGAACCTGATTAAGAAACCCTGACCCTATACACCCAATATATTAGGATTCATATATGAAGAACCCAAATAAAGACCCAGGGTTTCTTAATCACTGTCCCATACTATCAGCTTCGGCCGGACAGGATCCCCAAGGAGTCGGTGTTCACAGCACGAGCTGATGCTTCATCCTTCAGCCAATCGCGAACTCCTGAACAAACCCCCGAACCCTAAACCCAAAGGCCCTAAACCCTAACCCCCCCCCTTCAATCCCGAAGCCATTAGCCGAAACCTGAAGTCTATCTTCGAACCCCAAGCCGAAACTCCAACCCCCTGTGAACCGAAGCCCTGGACCGACAAAGATCGCAGCTTTGAGCCCCAAATTAGCGGAAGTTTCACGGAACCGCCCGGAAGCCCAGACCTTCCAAACTCCAAGATATGCACCTTAAATCATGAGAGAGATCCTACTATAAGTTAGAGTATATTCCTTAAGTAGGGTTTAGGAATCCTACTATTAAAGTTACTATTAAGTTATAACGTATACATTCCTTAAGTAAGGGATTTTGGAAGGTTTGGGAACCTCCCTATATAGAGGCCGGATTGCGCCGGTGCTACCCCCCCCTGGCGCGGCGCATCTTCCACCGGCGGATCACAAGCAAAGAGAGCCAGGAGATATTTGGGGTGTCGGGTTTAGAGATATGGGTGTTTCAGGAAGCCGGGCCGCAGTAAAAAGCCATAAACAGTAGAACACTTGTTGTAAGACTGCCGTGAAGAGAACACCCTCAACCCTAAACCCTAAACCCAAACCCCAAACCCTACACCCTAAACCCAAACACTAAACCTATAAACCCTCAACCCTAAATTCAGCATTCAGGGCTTTGGGTGAGAGGTTTTTGGTTTCAGGGTTCAGGGGTTTAGGGTTTTAGGGCTTTAGGGGTTTAGGGGTTTAGGGGTTAGGGGTTAGGGGTTTAGGGTTTAGGATGTCGGGTGAGAGAGGGCGGTGGACTTCGGGTTCAGTTGCAGGGGTGGAGATCAGAGCGAAACCCGCAATCGCTTTGAGAATGCCGCAGTCGCGGGATGTCTTTTAGAAGGCGCTTGGCATGAACCCAGCCTCGTGAGAATGTCCTGAAGCCCAAGGCCTTCTTTACGGTTACTTATCATGGCTTCATGGCAAAGTCGCTACAAAAAGTGCTTCTTTCTCGTTATTTATCATGACTTCATGGTAAACAAACATTATTCATCATGACTTCATGGAACAAAACAACTGAGAAAAGAGGTGCTTCTGTCCTGTTTTTTTTTATCATGCCTTCATGGCACAAAAACTGCTAAAAAAGGGGGGTGCCTCTTTCAAAAAAAAATAAATAGATAAATATATATATATAACTAACGACTGCCAGAGTTTTTGGCGCAGGAGGGCCAAGCGCAGGGCAGCCTCCCAGACCTCGAGCAGGCGGAGAGGCCACCCCCCGAGGCGGGGAGAGACCCGCAGGTCCCTGAGGCTCCATGGTAGGGTTTAGGGTTTAGG